ATTTATTTATTTATTTATTTATTATTTATAATAAACCATAAACAACAGTAACTTTATTCCCACCCACAAAAAAGAAATAATAAAATCTGTTCAAGCAACACAAAGACAAACCTGATATCAAACAGAAATATCTCATTAAAAAGCTGTCAACTCCATCAACAATGAAGCTTCACTTTGTGTTGTTTCAAGCAGCTTTTCATACTTTTGGCCACAGGATGAAGCCAAAGAGAGCTGTGTTGGAAAGCTTCGAGTAATGAACCCTTTTTTAAAGCAAGCTTCAGTGCTTCAGAAAAGCTTCATTTGCCCATCACTACTGTTAGCTTTTAGACAGTCATTTTGCTACATTTAGATTTAAATGATTTGCTACTTTAACCTTTAAATAGTTGTTTGCTGTATTTTTTATGTTCAGCAATAACATCTTGCTGTGTTAAGCTACTCTTTTGCTAATTTAGCTTTCAGTTAGCATTATGCGACGTTTGCATTTACTTAGCGTTTTGTTATTTTTAGCTTTGTGAAACCATTTTGTACAATTAGCTTTTAACTATCCTTTTGCTACTTTCGCCTTAGATGTTCCAATTATAGGCATTTTCCACTTTAGCAATAAGTTAACATTTAGCTGTGTTTTACTATTCTTTTGCTACGTTTTGTTTCCAGTTAAACTTTTGCTACTAAAAGGCTAGCCTTTAAGCAAAAATTTTGCAACATTTAGTTTTGCTATTTTGCTTCATTTATAGTTATGTTATTCTTAGCTTCTAGTTAGCCTTTCGCTACTTTTAGCTTCATGCTAAAAGTAGCTATTTGCTACTGTTAGCTTTATGCTAGCATTTACTTAGCTTTTTAAGCTAGCCAATTGCTATGCTTTAGCTTCTTTAACCTTTAGATATTTGCTCCATTTAGCTTGGCTTTTYGCTATTTACGATTTAGTTGTTTTTATCTACCCTTTTGCTACTATTAGCTTTCAGTTAGTATTTTGCTACTTTTATCTATCCTGTTACAATTTATAGCTTTTGTAGCTTTAGCCAGTGGTTTTTAATACCTTTAACTAAAAAGGTATGTATTTTCTAATTGTTATGTGTTGACATGGTGGCCATCATCGCTCACGAGGACCCAGAATCCCTTGCTGCTCCGCACTGACAGGCCTCTGCGTGCCTCTGACGTCCAGTCGGTCCAGTTCAGTCCGGCTCTGAGGACAGGAGACCGATGGAGGACGGAATGCCGACAGCCGGAGCTCCTCTCTGTGTCCGCGGCAGGAGAAAACAGGAGAGCCTGGTTCCGGGACTGGACCGGAGCACCGCTGTGGAGTCGCGGCCCACAACAAGCAGCAGCAGGCCCGCCTCCTCCCTCCTCTCACCGCCTCCCTCCCTCGCCGCCTCCGAATAAAACCGAACGCTTTCCGCGAATGTGCGATCTCCCTTCTCGCCAGCAGCCATAATTGGGATTATTCAGGAATAATTCGCCTGATCCTGCCGTGCTGCTTTTCTTTTTTTTTAGGGGGGGCTAACGTTTTTATTTTTCTTTTCATTTTTTTTGTTTTTATTATTTATTTTTGTATTTAAACGTGACTTAGACGCGGCTCCTGCGTGGTGGGTTTTTTTTTTTCTTTGCTGGGATTTTTTTATGTGCTTTGGTTTCCTCATACATTTCATCTGTCATGGAGGCTYTTATTGTGGACCATTAAGATGTAGTCCACCTTAGCAAGGCGGCAGCCAAACAAAGACTGCAGACTGACAGTGCAGGCTAAAAATGCACGGCGTTTTATTATTCTTATTCTTATTATTTCTTCTGCTTTTGACTGAAAGATGGGAAATAGAGACGCCGTCTGTCCTGATGGCCATCGCACACGCCAAGACAGTTCTTTTAGAGGATTTTTTTTCTTCCTCTCTGATTGTGGGTGGGTTATTGTAAGTATTCTGACATCACTTGGATATAAAACCAGAGCATAAAATTTCACCTTTTTTTTTATCGTGTTTGTTTCCAGCGCAATTAAATTTTTCTGGAGGCTGGTCGACGTGATGCAACATAAAAATCTGTTTTCTCGGATGATATTCAAATGAAGGGAAGCTGTAAAAAGGGTGGCGGTGGACGCATGTTTTTCCCTCCCGCTCCTCTTTATAACACGTCCTTTGAACGGGACTCGGCAGCAGCCAGGGCTCCTCGGATTGTTCGATCAGCTGTTGATTATTCATGTTTCTTACATGTTCGTCCGTCCGATCGCCTCCGCCGATGGATTTTGTGCAGAACAGGTGTTGTTTGAGCCTGAGAGAGCACCGAGAGGAGCGGGGAGCCCGGTTATGTGTCTTTCTGTCGGTCTAACGAGCTGTGAAACAAAGCAAACTGGGATMATTTAGTTTGTTTTTTGACCGTGAAATAAGAGCAGAAACCAAAGAATGAAGGAATGAAAGGTAGGTTATCATCTGTCTCTGTCTCCTTCTCCCCCCACCCCCTACACACACATACACACACACACATACACACACACACATACACACACACATACACAGAAAAATGGGAAAAAAACAGCAGAGGTGATTTTGACACCTGTTCATCTGATTTTCACTCCACCCTGTGTTTCAGGCCTAGCCGACATGGCAGCCATTTAATCAGGTGAAATGATGTCAAACTGGCGAAGCCTTGTTTTGTGTTAAGAAAGAAAGAAAGGAGAAAAAAAAAAGGACTGGGTTTTGTGTTCATGGCCTACATTGACAAGGCCCACCCAAACCATCAGCATCCCTCCCTATGCTTTGTTACCCCCCCCCCCAACACACACACACACACACAATCAGAAGG